TAACCTCTTCCCTGGGAGAGACCTGATTATCTGATATGATGTTCTGAGGTCTCTTTTACCTGCGGCTTGCCTCTTCTGCCTCAGTTGCCAGCCAGTGTGTCGTCTAACTGACTGTCTTCTTTCCTAGCACTCCCTTTCACTTCTTTATCCAGTCAGTAAAACATTGAACTCAGCTTAGTTCTCCATCAGTTATCCATCTTTGCATTAATTCATCTTCTCTTTCACCATCCTCCTCTCTTCTAATAGCTGCCAGGTATCCGTTGAGAGCCACTCCTTGTCTCACCTCTTCTTCCTGCCTAAAACGGTTGTACACGTCTCCTTGAACATCACCTCCAGAGAGTTGGTTCCAATGTTCTCGTACACAGGTTTCCTCAGTAGTGCCACGTAGTGTCCACGACTTCTCTCTGATGGCTACAGGGAAGGTGTCTTTTGTGGATTCGTGCTTCAGTTTGTGGCTGTTGATCTTGAATTGTAGTCCATCTCCAGTTATCCTGAAGGATTTCAGCTTCACCTTCAAGGTCCTATGAACTAGATGATGGTTTGAGCCCACATCTACTCCCCTTCTCGACTTTGTGTCCAGCAGGCTGCGTCTCCACTTCCTTGAGCAGCATTGAAATGAAGTCTGTTTGGCTTTTGGTGTGTCCTTCAGGCGGAGTCTGTGTTGCTTTGTGCATATTCTTGTACTTGTACACGCTGCCTCTAATCACCAAATCATGAAGGCGCAGAAGTCTGTGAAGAGTCCTCCGTTCTCATTCATTTCTCCGAGCGAGAGCCTCTCGGCCTATGATGAATTCTCTTCCCGTATTGTCTGCTCCCAGTTTGGCATTCGTATTACTCATGAGGATTCTAATGTCACCATTTGGAATGTTGCCCATTATTGTTTGTAGTCGTCTATAGAATTCTTCCTTCTTCTCTTCTTCCGTGTTGTTTTCATCACTGTGCGTAGCATTGGATAATTGTAACCTTCCTTCCTTCCATTTTGTGTTGAATATAACTGCTATAATCCTGGAGTAGATTGGTTCTCAATGCATTAGGGCTTTGACTGCTATTGATGACACTATGATAGCCGCTCAGTGAGCCTGCCTGTGGTTGTTGTCTGGGTTACCGGAGTAGACTATTGACTCTTCAGTTGACAATTTTGACAGTCCATTTCCATTGTGTCTGCTCTCGCATATATTCAACACTTCTCTGGCATACCTCCTCTTTTTTTAGCCACCTAGGCAGCCTTCCCAGCTTCGTATGTTGTACGGATATTTAAAATCCTCATTCTTCATCTTGCCTTCATTGAAGTAAGTCACAATGTCTGACTGGCTTCCCGAAGGCTTTCACCAGCCTATTGTGTCATTTTTCCTCTCTAACTCCAGGGAAGTATAAGTTTGTTTTATATGTTTTTTGTATTCTTAATAATGTTTCGAGCGTTGAAGTATCCGTAGCAGTTTGACTGATTTTTCGGGTTAGTGTCAGTAGCCTCACGACCAAACCTTCCTCTTTTCTCGAACTTTGGACCAGCTGGTAGACTAGATGAGGTTAATTACAGTTATCATGCCCTAAAAATTATATATATTTAACAAGTAATTATATGTGCAATACACAAATAATTTTTTTATTTTTTATTTCACTATTTTTAAAGCTGTTTTGAACACATTTATTATCTGTGTACATTTCTACCGATGCATATCTTTCCTGCGAGGGATAGTAGCAAGCGTTGTCGGTTTTAACAGTTTTAGGAAGGATTATTCTCCTTTACGACAAATTAATTCGAATATCACTGGCACAACTGTCATCACAACACCAACACCACTGCCAACTGCCCCACTGTCTTCATGCATATCACTACGACAGAAGTATATATAGATAGTGTAAAACGCTGATTTTCTCATGAAAACATTATTTTCTGAGCATTAGCTGTGCTTCATCAAAGGAAAAAACCTAAGACCGAATATACAAAACTAAAGAATAATAAAATAAATAAAGTTAGTTTGATTTGTTCAACCTGTGTAAAAAGCAAAGAATTATCTAAAGTGAATCATAAAGATTTACAAATATAAAGAGACTCAAGGTAAGGTTAAATTATCAAACATCATTTTCCCTAACTAGCAGTCAACTAGGATAAAACAGATTTTATGTTTTCAGTTCAGACGGCTGAAGATGACAGCTACAAAACTCTGGATTTTGGGTTTTATGGTTAATGGAATTAGCCAGCAAGACGTTACTACAACCTAAACATAACTGATTATACCTTGAAAATCACCCAGTGTTTCAATCACAACCGTAAACTTCATGCTAATAGGGTACATTTTACCTCCTGCATGATGGTTGACTGAACTAGATTGAGAAGTATGATGTTCAAAGGTCCGTATCGTGGTCATCAAACTAGTATACTCTTCATCACTATGCACTCTGAAGTGATAACAAATAATAATAATTCAACTTAAAAAATGCCGTGAACCTAAATTTTGTACTTGTTGCCGCTCGTTACAAAGACAGTACGGAATTTTCTAGTAGTTGCTTTGACAGAAACCAAAGGTAACTGGGAACTAAATAACACTACAGTAGTTACTTTATATTGACTGATTGAATTATTTGTGTAAGATTTTGACTTTGGCGATATTAAATATTTAAACGATGTGTTCTAATACCTGTCAACATTGAAGGTATTTATAAAAACTGAAGAAAAAAAACAACGTTTTTCAGCTGTAGAATAGCATGTTTACCTCTTGTATGTATTTACTTTTACTTCTCAAATACTATCTCACAATTATTTTAAACGACAGAATGCACTAATACTTCAGATACACTTTTGATAATATGAAGACTTGGTCTCAACTGCCATCTTGTCATTTTATTAATTCACAAAACTAAAATTTTAAATTATCTTAAATTCACTGGTGAAAATTAAAAGTAACTGTTTGATAATGTAGAATGACTTAGTTGAAAGTTGACCTCAGATACCTAAATCCATTTTACATCATAGTGTGTCAGTGACACTTTGACAGCTTGTAATAATTTAGACTAAAAGCGTGTTATCTAACTTTTGGAAACACATTTAAAATAACTTTTGATTGAATTTCTAAACTTATGTAGAAGACAAGGTCTCATGAAAACTGACTTCCTATCATTTAGAGCTGTATAGAAATTATCATTCACAACCATGAATCTTCCACCTTGTCCACCTTGTGGCTGCTCTTTTTTGATAGCACGAAAGAAGTGCTCACTTATTTTCAGTAATTAATTTTATTTCCATCTTTGGAAAATAAACTCTGACTTTTGCAGTCAATGGTTTGATTAAAATGTCTTTTTTCAGTAGTCAACTATGGACGTACTAGCATTCTTAGGTGTTCTCCAGGATCTGGTATTGGCTTACCATTTTATCTATAGCAAAAGTCTCATTTTATTCGTGAGATCTTACTAAGACTTTAATGCAGCATGTATTCTTTCAGACAGGAAGTGTCATCTGTAAGCATGCTGGCTAATATCAGTAAGCACTTCTTGTCTAGTTCCTTACCTCGTTTTCATTTGTCTTGTTTTACTTTTCCATTACCTTACCTAACTGTAAGTAAAAGCACATCCAATAGAATGTGCAAAGAGCTAAACAATACGTGTTCAATATTTGAAGTTTCGATGGTGGTGGTGGTGTTGATAGCCTTACGCCCAACCTTCTCCTTTTTTCTTGCCTGGTAAACTAGATGTGGTTTAAGAGTGCGTCGGTCGAGATCCCAAGCCATACCACACACATGGCTGGTGAGTATTCTATCATTGAGCCACACTCTTTGATTCGCTGTTTACCAATTCGATGCCATCATGATTTTATCATAGGCACGATGAAAGCGAAGGAATAGAACATATCTCAAACAAATCCAATCATTTTGCTTCTGTGGATCAAACAGTTGCATTAGCCACAGAGCTTTTACAATTACTGTTTTTATTCAATTGAGATAAGAATCACACTCACTGTATTGATAAAGTCTCTTTGTTTAAGCATGACAACACTGTCAAGTACATGCAGCAATATAAGACTGTGTTGAGCTAGAAAACTAGTTAAATCCTTCTTACTGAACGCCAGAACATTTAAATATTGAGTTCAGTTAGTAGATACGATTAATTGAGAATAAATTCAACGACGAAATAACACTTACGTTTTGTTAGTCATACGCTAAAATAAATCACACTAAATAAAATCATGCAGAAAACAAAATTTGTTATTTTCATTTAGAAACATTATTATTTTTTATGTGAAGTAATCTACTGTCCAGTAAAATGTTGTTATTTAGCTTTACACTCAATACGGAAATAAATGTGTGAACTGTTAAATAGTTTCAATGAAATACTGATTGCGAGATATAGAGTTTCTTAGTCTTTCATTGAATTGAAGATGCCATTCTTCACAAAATGACATTATTTGTTAAACAGAACTACATTGAGTTAAATTTTTGACAGACTTGTAGATGTGCGCTGTTAATGATCTCAAACTAGGTTAGAACAATTATTTCGGTTTTCCTAACAAATAAATGCATTCTATGTTTTTCGCTGACCAAAAGAAGATGGAGGAAATCGATCAGAAAGAGGACTCAAAATATAAATTTATAATATATTCACCAGGAGCAGTGTCATCCAAAAGGGAGGAAAAAATTGTTTTGCATATTTTCCGGAAAATATAGATTAGAATTTTACCGTTATTTTTTTGCAACGAATGATATAAATTTAATTTCTGTCTACCTATATTTAAACCTAGATTGACATAAACGCTGTTTCAATTCAATGGTTTGTTCATGGATAGGTTTATTAAAAGATGCTGAATTACAGTGGCTTTCTAGATAATAAGAATCTTGTGATTCAAATCTTCGGAAATGTTTACTGAAAACAAATAGACCTAATTTAAGATCATTTAAACTTGTCTCGATTGCAAATTGGTGATGGGTTCTTAATTTCAGTACTTTTATGCGTTTATCACTTAAGACGTTCAGAATTAAATAATTTATGATCCCTTTCTATTTATTTAGATGGCTGCTAATTTAACAGAGAGGAAATTCATGGACCCGCTTCAGTAAACAAGCAACGATAGGACAATGGTTGGCCCATCACAGAGTTCTGGTAAACCCGGTGATTTAATATGTCTGTGTATTGGTGGTCGTTTATTTGTGACCAGAAGAGCGACACTTTATCGATTACCTGATAGTCGGTTATACTTAATTGCTACTCAAGGAACAAGTAATCAAGAGTCAAATTCCAATTATTCAGCTCAAACAAACTTAGGTGGTGACTTTGTGAAACCAGTTAATGAAGGATCAAGAATAAATTCAAACCATTTATCACCATGTCAAACATCTGGCAGAGCAGTGGGTAATGGACCAAATGAAGGTGCCTTAATTGGTGGTGCATCTATTCTGCCGGAGAATATAGCTTCTATGCTTGCAGGAAATATGAATTTACAGTCAGCTTCTTCAATCTGTAGAAACAGAGGATCTGGACTTCCTAATCCTTCATTAAATATTTCACATGGAGTGGATTTATGCCGATCATTTAATGCATCTGTTTCCTCAACACCAAGCAATATATTCTCCTCATTACCTACTCCTATTGTAACAACACCTCCAACTGTTTACTTTTATGATAGAGATCCAGAAATATTCCGTTTTGTACTAGATTATTACAGGACGGGGGAATTACACTTACCATCAAGTATATGTGGTCCATTTGTGCGTAAAGAATTAATATTCTGGGGTATTGATGAAGCTTTGATTGGTCCTTGTTGTATGCCTGCTTATATGCGATATGATGAAGAAAAACGAACAAAGAACACCTTATTTCGTGACTGTTTTGAAGATATAGACTCAATGCAAAATCTTGTTAAATTTTCAAGAGGCTGGAAGAAATGGAGATATCAAATGTGGTTATTCATGGACCACCCAACATCTTCGCTAGCTGCTAAAGTAAGTAGAGAAATTAATATATTTAATAATGTTTGGTGAAAACTGAGTTCGATCGGTCAAGTTTATGTTAATCTTCCAGTTTTGATTTCCTGATAGTGAATGGTTTCGTGACCAGCGTTAAACTTGTGTATACTTGGAGGATTTCATGTAAGAGTAAATTTTACCAGAAATGTGCGTGTATGCACTTAAACATACATAGACATTTAGTCAGCAGTAAAATATGACTTGAAATCTTCAGTCCATGATCTCCGTTTGCCATACACAAGTTGAACACAAATTAAACATATTACACTCAGATTACATTCAAAAGTGAGCCAAACTAGTTAGGCTTTCTTTCTAGTCATTACTAGTTAGTATTTAAATTGACTTTGGTATTTGTGATTATTTGCATGTATCCTGACATATGTGATTTAACATAATATTGATTCATTGTCGAGTGATTTTGTAGTTATGAGAAATTGAGTGAGTACTGAATTTGTGGTCATTTCACTATTGATTACTGTGAAAAATTTAGATTTGAGCACATCAGTTTGCATCTTCTACTGTCTACTATATAAACTGACTAATCGAAGGTCTTGGAATTTTTCCACACGACGAAATGTTTGAGTATAATACAATCATAAATACTGCGTGATCAGTGGGATCCACTGGATCGGCAATGCGGACTAATACTCGCCGAAGACATTGACTGGTGGTCACGCTAAAATCACAAAGTGACATAAGTTTGGATTCATGGGTTACTGAATTCCAGCCCCAGTGAACGGAAGGTCCCATTCTCGATCCTTAATGAGGTTCTGAGTGCGTACTAATGAAAACTTCCGAATTAGGACAAAAAATATGTGCAGTACACCGTGGATTTAAAAGTTCTGTAACTGATTTCGATCTGTGATTAGACTTGAAACATATTTAATTTTTATTTCTTAGAATAGCAGTTAATGAACACTCAATAAAAGTAGTGAAACACAAACAGTGATATATTCATAAAATCGCTGTCCTATCTGCTTTGATGTCTTCACTGTATACTTCTTACACAAATAAACTATTTCACAGAACATTTAGTGCAGAACATTAAAAGAAATATTTTTCATTTTTCTGGAGAATATCATAAAATGATAACTAAGAAGTAACAAAACACCAAAAATGTAAAAGACTATATGTTAAAACGTTCTCAAGTTATCTTATAAAACTGGTAAGTATTTATGTACATGTATTTGTCACCTATTGGTTGTATGGCTATTGTGCAGCAGACTTGGAATAAAAAGTGAAATATTCATGGAAGTGTTTTAAAGTATTCATGAAATTAAGCTGTGCACAACAGCTTGTAACTGGAGACAACTGAAGAATAATGGTGAGGTATATCTGAAAACACTTCTGGTTTACATGTTCTGTTTCTAAAAGTGAAACCCACTTCTTTTTTGACTTTGGACTACTTAGTTGAAAGTATAGTCAATTTAGTGAGAGATGAGTATTCAATTAGAGGCATTGCTTCAAAGACCCAGTAATTATCCTCTAATCTACAAAAATACAAATCTTAGGAAATTGAGGGAAGTATCACAACAAGGTGATTTGATTCTGCACACAAAATTTAACAATGCCCACTTTTTTCTGGTTGCTTCATTAAACATATTGTTTCATTTTCAAACGGTTCGTGCACCATACCAATCTGTGTCAATCTAGTTTGCTTTTATGAGGAATCATGACATGCATTTTCAAGTCTTCTGGAGTGAATGATTGGGTCACATTCAGTTTGTCAACTACTTTGTAACAAACTGTTCTTATAAATTACTTGACTTAGTAACAAATCCCTTGTTATTGGGAAATATCTTGGATGAAAGTCTCGAGAATAAGCTCCATCAAGTGGGTGTACAAATATACAAAAGTTATATCGGGTGATGATTACACTCTACCAAGTACTACGAAAGAAACATAATGATTTTAGAAAGTGATGTTATGAACATCTGTTAGCAAGTGATATAGCGGAACAGGCTTTTAAGACGTCATTGATCACAAGAGTTTCAGATAGGATATTTATACTCAGTGAAACTCTAGGTGAAATAATATATCTCAGAAATTGGTGTTTAGGTTGTAGCTGCCAAATTTAGACGGGAAATGTAAAAATAATCATTTTTGGACCATGTTAAGCATTATTTTGATATCTTTTTTATACTTTCATAATATTCAGTTATGAAATGACTATTATGCGATTACCTAGGTTTCATTTCCTGTTTCGAATAATCACATAGGTGGTGACCACTTTTTCAAACATTGCATGAAAGCGTATTATGCTAAGACAGAATATAGTGAATACAGAAAAACAGGTTACGTGATGAGTTCTCAAATGCCGAAATGGTTCTTGTAAAATGAAAAAGAAGAAATTTGAAAAAAAAGTCTCAATAGCTAATGAAAAGTAGAATTTTGTGTTGAAGAAAGCAATCAGAATCATGCACGTATGGTTAGAGCTTTTAGGCACAATTTACGCTTACTGTCACTTATTTCCAAATGTATGATGTTCAGTAACTGTCAGAGACAGTACTACCTGCTGTTTAGAAAGTACACTGAAGAAGAGAAAATAGAAGAATTATAATTAATATATTTTAGTTAGTTATACGCAGTGCTTTTCTGTGAAACAACTATTTTGTGATGTAATTTTATGGATATAAAATTCAGATAACGGATATGCTGGGTTGTAAATATTTTCATCATAGCTTTTGACACCAAACGATATTAGTAAAATGCCTAAAACCCACGAGGCACTTAGCAGCTGCTTACTCTTAGTGTTGAACATTACAGTAATGGACGAGCTCACTAATAATCTTGCATAGGACAATTACCTTGTACTGTTTTCATGTTGCCACTCTGAAACAGGTTTGTATGTTACCGCAGGGGTTTCAATTCCTATTGACTCCCAATATAACGCCCCCGCCATCCAGTGAAATTTGTGAGCTTAGTTATTGAGAGCTATAAAATAGTCCGAAACTAGAGAGATAAAGCCATTCAGTGATGTCCAGTCTTAAGTGGACCTGTAATTGATGTCAGTTCATGAAAAAATGTACCTTGATGTCAATGAATTTTCCACAGACTAAATATCTGGCTAAGGGATGGACGTACCAAAAAGCAGATAAGAATTTCTAGGATGAAATCACATCTGACATTGGATCACAGTGAACTGTATCATCAATTTACAGAAGTTATGCAAACAGATGAAATTACATAGACTTTTATAATGCACACACATATAGTAAATGGAGATCTTTACATATGCAGTCCTACCGGACCTCATTTTAAGCAAACCTCTCAGATGGACAGTAACAATCAAGTTGTAAGATTTATAAAGTGAACTGATTACTAAGGCAAAACAGAATTTTAGCTACACTAAATGGGACATCTATCTCCAACCAGGGATTAAAAGCAGGCCCAAATATGTGTGATATAAATGTCAGACAACATCAATTCTAGGACTATTTAAATGGAAATTTAAATATATGGAATTCAAAGGTCACTTCCATTTGCAGTGTAAAACTAAGTAATAATGACTATGAATTTCAAGTTTACATGAAAGTAATTTTACAGATTGCTTTTCACTAAAATGAAGTAGAAATTTAAGCTGATTTCAGTAGAGATGTAAATCATGTTGCATTCGACTAGTTATGTAGCATAAAAGTGTTTTTCGAGACTGAGGGATAAAATCATTTTTTTGAAATCTTATACAACCAGTTTTTTGTCTACAGTGATTCACATCAATTTCACAGGATAGGGAGAAACTGTGTAACTTTTTAATGTAGAAAATTATTGGTTGAGTAGATAATATTTTAGTATTTTATAATGTGAAAAGTTATTGTACATAAGAGTTAAACTTGAATTCTAACCTAGCAAAATTAAGAAAACAAATGCAAGTTGGACACTAGTTTTCTTCATTGATATATTGACTGACTGAAAACTCAGTGAAACTAAGACACATTATGATTACCATTATGACCAGAAATAATATACTAAAATCAATCCAGAAAACTGCAACTCAACAAAACTCAGTTCTCATGACAACTCAGTAAGTCACTGAGTAAGTGAAATTCAAAAAAGATGGTTGCTGGTTGCCCCTGTATATTAGTCGATAGTTCTTTAGTTCAGAAATCTGCAGGCCCTTTTTCTTCTTATTCACATTTCAATCACTTACATTGGTATAAACATCTGACAGTCATAATCACAGTAACAAAAGCAATTACAGTTGTTTTAAAATACTGTAAATCGCCTTTCTTTTCCAACAGAACAGTTGACCGCAAAGAAAATAAACTGAATACTAATCCTAACAAACCTGGCTTTATAGATATATAAGTCAATGTGTGGAACACTCTGCCTATTCAGAGTAACATTTGCATGGCTGATATATTTTTAAGTGGTTTTCTATAAATAAAGGCGTATCAGAACAGAACAGTCATTTTGCTCTCGTGTAGTACCATGCCCCATATCTCATTTACGAAAAATGTCAACTTGCATATGACGATGTTATCGTAGTGATCTTAAAGTTTAAAATCTGCGAAAATGTTTTATTCCTTTGAGCTGCTCAAACTGTTATTACAGCAAAATTAATAGTCACAATAGTCAAAATCCAGATAAAGCTGGTATGAAGGCCAAAATATGCGATCAAAAAAGCTCTGGGTGTGATTGGCACATGTTTTCCTCAGACCTGGACTAAATGGTTCCATTCGCTTCTATTAAATTATCTTTCACGTTCGACCATCGTAATCATGAAAGAAAGCTAGAAACCAGAGTTAAGAACAAGTCACCATTTTAACAGATAAAAGATGTTCACAGAATATGAAGCAGAATTTGATGTTTCCTTCCTTTTATTTTATTTTCACTCCATTTTCTCTAATTTTTTTCCACAATCCAGTGGGTAAAGCAGGTCACTGATTTGTTACGTGACCTAATGATAAATTGAAAAAAAATTCTCATAGGAAGAGAAATTAGTTCACTGCGTACAACAATGAATAAAATATATTGTGTGCTCAAAGAAAACTATATTATATCAACTGCAATGACAGTATTATCAGCAAATCTGAGACTTCATTATTCATAATAATTCAATTACAGAATATATTAAGGAAGAATAATAACGAGATCGGGAAATTTTGACAAATAATGGTGATAATGAGTAAAAATATCTAGACCTCATAGCATTTCACACTGTCTGCATTATCCACTAGTCCTCATTATTCTCATAAACATTTGAACTAACGATTTGTTAGTGAAATAAGGGAAGATAAAAAAGGTATGGGATAGAGGGGATTCGCCAACAAAATTAAGTAGGTACTAAGGTGCAAAATAAAACTGTTTCCTGGTGAAATATTTACTAAAAAAGAGTGTTCATTTTATGATTCTGAATGAACATTTGACAATAGGTGCCTTACTGAAAAACTATTCGTCTTTTTCCATCAAACAAAGGTGTACTAATTAAACATAGTGGGCATACCATTAGCTTACCCATACTGACTTAAAGGTGTAATGGAATTAAAATTAACATAACTAATACATATTGCCAGTGTACATTTGAAAATAATTATTCATTCATGTATGCACTACATAAATGCCGTTGTCTCTTTTTTAAAGTAGAGATAATTTACATTCCACAGTGTAAAATCTGTATCAATACAAAGAAGAGAATACAACATGTGAAAAATGGTTCTGGTCTAAAAAGTGTCTGATAGTTATGGGAAGCTAGAAGGTGGAGGAAAATGAAGGATCATGACATCACAGTGAGTTAATTACAGAGCAGGTTAGATAGACCGAGTAGAAACAGATAGGGTACTGGTGTAATAGATTCATGTAATCGCTAATGTAGAATGACGATATATTTGTGGCACCAAACAATAAACATAATATTTACAGTGAGGGCATGATTTGGCTTAGCTAAGCGTTTATCTGTGGAAACAGACCAGTAACCTTCTTTCATTTACTTTTTGGTTTCGTCAACCAAGGTTTAATATCAATTAAGATATAACACTCTACTAAAAGTGAGCGGATTGAAACGTTTCCATTGTGCTTATGGCTAAAAATGATCAGTGTGTTTCAAAAATAGTTTACCATGATTGTTTCAAATATGTTGAACAGTAAACTTTGCCAAAAACACTACGTTCAGCCTATTTCACACTGGCATAGTGATAACATATTTATATCAAAATGGTATACCAGATAACTACTGAAAAACAAGAACCACTGTAGATCTGTTTCTTTTTGGTTTCTGACAGTTCAGAAGTGTGAACATATGACCCAACTCAAAGAACTTGAATATCAGTCATTTTTTCAATAATGACTAACTTCGAGATAAATATTCATAGTATGAAATAATTGATGTGATTTATCACATCAGATACAGGGACTTCTATCTTTAGTGAATACTCACAAGGTAATGACAACAAATGAAGCACGATGAAAGGATTTCATTTCATTTCCCCAGTAATCGTCAATTACTTCCAACCTGAATAATTAAAGGAATTAGTTAATTGGAGAAAAAACGTAAAAGTTGTAAAGTTGGCAAAATAAAACAGACATCTGTGATTATATGTGCAAGAAGCGTAATAGACAGATACTGGAAGGCAGGATTATAGGATTGTGTTAGTTTTATGAATTTTTAACAAAAAAATATGCAAAACTGTAGTAAGTTGGTCTGAATAAGTTAAGTGTAGGATTAACAAAATAATGCAATTAGGTAAGAATTTAAGATCTACCTTGGGTTATGTATCACTCACGTTTACTGCAAATGCAGTGCTCTGAGCAGTCGGTCCATTCATAATAATTTCTCACATTCTGTTTATTAACAATTCATAGTAACTAACATGATCCTACAATTTCTGGTTACTGCCCTTGTATGAAGATCATCAAGCCAGTGTAATAGATTTCAGTGACTACCAGTGAATAAGATGGGTGTGCACGGCTGAAGGGTTCGAAATCTGGACGAAATGAATGTTATTTGATCACTGTTGGTCCAATGTAGGAAACGAGTATACTACAAGAGTCATCAGTAACACGAGAAGGGTGTGCAATGTTGCTATTTGGTATATTTATATTGGAAGCTATCCTCCAGTAAATTATATCCGCACGAAATTAATGTTTCAAAAACATTCAAGCTGTTATATAGACAAAATAATGAAGTTTAGTAAACTTCAAGATTACGCTTGAAATCAGGAACTGATAATAGTTGAGCCTTTTCTGAGTTAAGTTTTGATAATTCAGGGAATAAAATGGCATAATATTAATGATTGCAATGATTTAAAAATGCAAATATAACTTCTTTTGATGGGTGATCTTGAAAACTTCAAACTGTATTAAAGAAAAAATACCATGCTAAGAGAAAAAATATAAATCTAACATAATTCTGGGATTTGTTACAAATAGTTCAGTGAATTTATTGAAATATAGACTAAATAATGTAACCGTAATGTTTCCATACAGTGTTCAGAGAACAAAAGAAATTCCTTTGCATTTTGGAGCTTAAAGATATTGAAGTACTATTTGTATAATTTCAGCTAAATTACACACAACCGATAGACAAGATCCTTCTTAATTTGTTTTTCGAATAGCTTAATTTTTGAACAAAGCTATAAAGACTGTAGAAGAACAGTAGTATAGACTCAGTTTTATCAATTGGCGGATTCTTTTAGACTGCTTACTAACCAGACAATACTAAAATATGAAATTACCAAAACAGATCAAGCATACTTTTATCACTGTGACAATGTAGTCCATCGTGCTTAAAGTGCTATTCACATTTCTTTACCAACATACTGTTTCCAGTTAAACTTTGTTTCCGTCCACATTTTGAAATTTACCCCATCTTTTTCAAGAATAGTCGTCTAAGTATCATATAAATAGTCAGTTTTTGTCTTTAACACTTCGTAATTTAAATACACACATTTATTCCGAACTTATGTTACTTATCGTCTCCATCACAAACTTTCTAAAGCGATAAAAGCATATCCTAGACCTTTTTCTAATGCGTATATTCTGAAATTGTTTAGATTTTAAGCAGAAAAAAAGGATCTCCGAAATATTATGTTATGTATTATCCTGCCATATTTCTTTTTCTTGCTCTGTTCAAGTTTCTTAGTGAAATCATGTAATTATTTTATTCGTATTTATTTTGCAATATATATTTCATTAGTACGAATAAGAAATGACTACATATCCAACCTTGGTGAATCAGCAATCGAATGAAATCCAACTTATCTCTGGACATTATGTTCTTCGTAAATTGGTTTGTACATAAGAAAATTACCAGAGTGAGAATATGAAGATCGGCACATCTCACTAAACTACACCTAAACCCGTAAAAGTACATGTTAGCAACCCTCATATAACAAAATGGATAATAGCTGTAAGGATTGATATTCATTCCTAAACAGCATTTACAAAGCATTAAGAGCTGTTAAGCGAAAATCACGCATTACTAAATATGTAAACTCTTATTTTGAAGATAACATTAATTTCTGTTAGACAGTTACAGCTATTACCGAGTGAATATTGTAACAGTGACAAGCTATGGAAACAAACAGGCATGCCTGAATAGTCTATTTAAAGGAGACCTAGAATACGTGTTTGGACTGCATCCAAATCAACCAATCAAAAAGGTAAATTAAGTGCATGGATGCTGATAATAAGATAGACAGAGTCACAGATAGATAACTAACATATACAGTTAACAATATATCGTTGTTAGTACTGGATAAAAAAAGAAATAGAATAATGCACAGTCAAAAATCGAACATTATACATTAGAATAACAACAAATTATGTAAGAATTCGTTGTGGTCACTAGGGTTTCCATTATTCCATAACATGGACAAAAAATGTTCCTTCAAAATGTGACTAATGATGTGCTAACTTTACCTAATGCAACAAAAAGATGATGTCGAAAGTCAAAACAATCCCCAATGAGAATTTTATGGAAAAACAGTATTACCTAAAGTGCCAATCCACATTAAAAAGAAAAGAGTAGCTGCTACACTGCTTTCTATTTGCTCTAACAACTAAGAATACCAATCTTCAAGCTAAAACATATACATATATATATGTATTCCTTCTTACACCTGTAGGATAACTATAATTATGAAGGTATTGAAATTTAATAGTTATATGTGATGACAAATTTTACCTTAGAGCAATTTAAACCAGAATAATTTGTGATAATAAATCAATCGAGGTATGGGTGATTTGCTTAGCTGTTCATCATTTAACCCTCGTCTCCATTTACGCCTAACCTAAAATGAATTAACTAAAGTGCTATGTCTAGCCGATAGTAAATCCGCAAAAGAGTTAAAGTTGGACGTGAGGCTAGAAACTCCATCCTGGCTACTAAAACTGTAAGAAGGAAGCCCTATGTTCCACTTATAACTAAAAGGAATTTGAAAAAAATTGCGCTGTCGTGATGGTATGCAGTTGTATGTATTATCAGTTCTATGTTGTTTCCTTGAAAATATCTCATTCACTGATACAGTTGTCCTTCCCATAGAAAGAAGAACAATCCAAAACGAAACACTATCTTGATATTTTTCTTCTTGAATTAGTGTCTAGGTGAATATTACCAAAGACTTGCAATAGATGCTGTCTATCAAGTTTCTTATTACAAACTATCGGCTTATTTAAGTAATGAAAATAATATTCAAACTTATTCCATTTCACCCTTGGAAGACGATTTTCAACTTTTGTCCGGTAAATACCAGGAGGCAAGGGACCAACAGCTGAAACCGACGCAGCCAGTTCCACTTATTTATGAAGCTTTTTGTTGAACAATGATGGCGGTGGAATAGACACGATTGGACACCAAATTTTGGGAACAATAGACGATTTCCAGTTTCTGATTGAATACACAGTAGATTTCGCCTAATTTATAAAGCTTTATTTTCGTTGCATGATGCTTAACATTAACTCCTGAAAATCTGTTGATTCATTTACTGACATTTATAAACATAATCGTATGACTCATTTTGTTCAGTCAAAATTGAGGTACCTAAAACCACTAATTAAGTACAGAACTGCTTTTGATAATACAGTTGACAGTCGTGGCAAAAGTTTCTATTATACTTGTAGAATGCTTATCCAATGACCGCAAAAACTATGTAGATAGTGAAATATGACGTGAACTATACAGAACTGAGTAACACTGAGAAACTCTACAGAAACCAAATCTGTCACTTTATACGTCTAAGGCATTACCGTCAGTGGGCATATTATGCATTTGAGAGCTGAAAGGATGGTCAGTTCTAATGAGCATTACAATAAATAAAGTAAATATAACTGAATGAATTACTATTTCCTTACAGTATATGCACTGGTGACATATAGAAAGGCTTAGATAATACTTATGATGTATTCTGATACAGATTTTTCAGCAATATGTACACCAAAGTAATCAAGAGAATAGGCTGAAAAGCACAGAATTTACACTTAACTTAGACTTCCTCAACGTTTTTTGACAATTTGAAAACTGCATATGCTTAGGTTTGTAAGGTTCACTTGTTAGCGACAAGTCAGATGAGTATTTTTACAATTTGTTTGACCTTTCATTTGTTTTATGTTCCTATATATTTTTGAAATTACTACTTACTTTTATTTCACTTATTTAGATATGGGCATCTGTTCTGCTTGTTTTAATGATTGCCTCTGTGATGTGCTATTGTCTATCCACACACGAAGTCTTCAGAACACGATCCAGTATTATTCAAACGAATGCAGAATTACATCCAACAGGTTCACTCGAACCTATTTCTCACAATGGTCATCTTGACCATTTATTGCAGTCGTTACCTACAAAGCAGCTGTCACATCAGTCTTTATCACATAAATCTACTCCATCTGATGTGATTAGAAATAAACAATTTCCACATGCAAATAAAACTGTTAATGCGCCTATATCCATTTGTTATAACTCATTATGGCGTCCAAATCCAAAGATACAAAAAGATTGTTCAACAGAACCATCTGAAGGTCTTGTTTTCTTTGATATCTCGTTAAACTGTTTATTCACACTTGAATTCCTGCTCAAAGTTCTACTTGCACCAGATAAGCCGAAATTTCTTTCATCTATCGTTTCAATATTTGATATGGTGATATTAGTTAGCTATTGGGTATATATGTCATTATTCTATTATTATTACTATTATCCAAAAAAGTCAGTGACAGACAGTGAGCAAATGAAAACTGAACTCTCCGGGTATCTTTGGCTACTGAATATTTTGTCGATGACACAGGCACTAAGAATATTACGTGTATTCAAAATTTCAAAAATTTCTCGTGGATTAAGAGTACTCATATTAACAGTGAAGAAGAGTATACCTGAATTGGTATTATTAGGATTTTTAATGATGAACGGTATGTTTTTATTCTCGTCAATGATGTATATAGCTGAATATCGCGTGAATGACACCTTTCCTGACATACCACAATCATTTTGGTGGTCAATAATCACATTGACAGCAGTTGGTTACGGTGACATGCACCCTAAAGGCGGAGCAGGTTATTTTGTTGGCTCACTGACAGCAATATCTGGATGTATTGTAACTGGTCTAGCGATACCAATAGTGGGGAATAACTTTAATACATATTACAAGTACATGAAAAATCAGCTAATGGAAGACAAATACTTAAAGACACTACGTAAAGATATGGAAGCAACAGGGGGTGGCAGTGGGACAAAATCAGGTCTTGGTGTGGCTTCAGAGAAAAGTGGTTTACCATTGCCAGGCAGGAAACCTCGCAATATTAATCGTAAAACAATTCGAGGTGATAAAATTACTAAGACCGATAACATGAAAAATAGCTTATTTACTATGATGGAAGTATGTGCAAGATCTGTAAAACGTTTGTTACCAACTCGTTTAACGAGTAGAAAAAGTTGTAAGCCTATATGTGTGCCCAAAACAAATACAACAGATTCTATGCAGCTGCTGACGGAAAATCAAAAATTCCCAAATTCTTTTACTAGTAAAACAACAATATCTGAAGTGGCTGAAAGGAAGAGCAGCTATAAACATCAAATTAACCCATCCAATAATCTTATTCCATGTAACATAAAACTGAATGGTGAAAAGACAGACATTGAACACAGACCAAGCTTGATATATCCTTTGGCAACAGATCAGCTTTTAAATTCACTTCTACCATCTCAGTTACCAGTAAATTCAACACCTCAAATATGGGTTGATGGAGAGGAATTAGATGACGCAATATCCTCAGCTAATCAAGCGTGTGACAACAGCATGTATAATGGCACAAGTCACTTACAACCGCTTTGTACTCCATCAGCAATAGATATGAGTGAATTTGTCAATAATGGCACTGGAAATCACCAACTTTATTCTAGAATGTCTATAGTTTCTGATGAAATAATACCTAACTCTATATATATTTCATCGAATACAAATTGTTTTACTGCACCAAATGTTCCAGACGGTATTCAAAATGATTCTGATATTCTTTCCAGTGGAGAAGATGGAGATGATGAACATGAAGATTCAAACTGTGAATTTAAAGGGACTAAAGTGAAGATTAAAAGTCAAAACAAATATGAAACCATCGTTGTACGAAGGAAGTCCAATTCACCGAAATCCTTACCATCACGAACAACACAACCACCTATTAGTAACAGTAATATCAACAACAATATTCACACAAGCAGTAATACTATGGTCTGTAATAATAAACCCATCACAAAACGAATGAATTATGTGTAATCTATTATTAATTTCACTGGGGTTATAATAATTCGATGTATTTAATAATTGTGTCCACTACTGATCTAGTAATTCACTAGGAAAGGACATATATATCAATGTAAACTGTGTGTAAACACACATACAATCCTGTGGGAAAACACATTCATTGCTGATGAATTATTAACAGTTACATATAAAAAATTATTTTGTACATGTTATACGTGAATGATAAAATAGAACATTAAAAAAACAACAGTTTGCAAAATTAGAACAAGTAATTATGCTTAATATTATTGCAATTACCACTGCTACTATTGCTACCACTATCGCTAATATTACACATACTATATATAGATTATCATTCTGTTGTTCATTTTCTCTCCTTTCGGTCTGTATTTTCCTTGCTCTTGTTTATTTCTTCAGCTTTACTCCTCCTTTTCGTATCTGTATCACTTATGAACGAGTACTAATATGAGATATGTAGATGGTTACACAGATTCTACCATCATCATTATTATTTTAACTGCTGCAGACAATGCAAACAACAATACTGTTATTATGATACTAGTGCCATTAATACTCCTAATAATAAAAATGTTATAATTACAAAAATGATAATAGTATTACTGATCCTAACCATGATATGCAAGATTATTAATCCACCGCATTGTAAACTTAGATTTATGAGTTTTCAATAGCTTACAGGTTTGATATATGTTTGTGCCGTTTCCCTTTTAGTAGACGTCCATCAGAACTTTAACTATTGTAACTATTAGTTTAAACATACAAAATTGCAAAAACGATTTTCTTTAAGTTGTAGAAAAATTTTGTATGACAGCCGATCTGCGATATTATATATATATATATAACTTTATTCCAAACATCCTTGTGTATGATTTCGTAATGCGAAGTTGGAATGAATCAAGCAAAAGATTATATTCATAGTCCAGATATATATTTCCGTTGTCTAAGTATAATTTTTTCGTAAAACAGTTTGATGCATTTGTGTGACCGGTAGTATATGCTCAACAAGACTAAGTTGTTATACCGTTAGAAAAAGAATCCACTCGTATTGGTTCTGATTTTGTTACCCTTATTATAAGTCACAAGATGTATACTCCCTATTCTTCCTCAGTTGTCAACCTGTCACGTAATGAGGACTAAATGTGAACTAAGAAACACTTCGGGATTTCTCAGAGCTACACCGTGATTACTGGTTAGTTAGACATAATGAATTAACCGAAAAGGAAAATGACACACTGCTTAAAAATGGAGTACATTTTCCAGAATATAGCTGATAGCGTAACCATGAATAACTTTTTCTGATATCTGTTATCAATGATTACAGAGAAGTAAATATGAACGATTATTTGTTGAATAATATATGCACTACTCTTGTGTTCAACGTGAATTCAGGAGTAAGACGAGGCTGCCTATTGTCACCTATGATATTCCTAATTGTAGTGGACCGGACTATGCGTCAGACTGTGTGTTAGGAGTGAGAAGTTAGGAACACGTTGGAATGACCGGCAAGAAGATTCTAGAAGGTCTGGATTTCACGTGTGAATGATTTATGTCTGATGCCACATAAATTCGGAGACATACAGACGACAACCATCAAACTAGCAGAGGAAGCAGAGAAGACAGGACTGCAGGTGAACATAGGGAAGACGGAGGTGATGAAGACAACCAACCTACAGAAACAGCAACAGCAACAACAACCAGCACCAATCACCAACAACGGGAGAATTTTGAAGGAGGTTACTTCCCTCACTTATCTAGGAAGCATTCTTTCAACCACAGGCGATAACATGGATGAAGATGTAAACGCTAGCCAGAATCTGAAAGGCAAGGCAGACATTCGTCACTCTAAAATCAATTTTGCAATCTTCTGCACTCAGCCTGAAGAGCAAGATTCGGATTTTCAGCACCAGTGTTAAGTCAGTCAGTTCTTCTATGTTGGTTGGAAGGTTGGCACGTCATGAAAAGTATTTCTCACAGACGACTGCAGACTTTTGTTAATGGCTCCCTTCACTGGCTCCACATTGAAGAGCGAATGCTGACTAGAAGTAATTAGCAACAGGAAACTATGGCAGAAACCAACCAAGAGTCAATCGCTCATTAAATATGTAGGAGAAAATGGAGATGGATCGGGCGCATACTTTGAGGAGGCTGTCGAATGATGTCGTGCACCAGGCTCTCGAGTGGAATCCCGATGGGAAGCCACAAGTGTGTCGTCCAATTTTGACATGGAGGAGATCGTGCGAGAAGGAGATGAGAGATTATGGGGAATCGTGGACCCAGCTAAAGAGGACACCAAACATAGAAGAAAGTGGAGCTGTATTGTTGCAGTGCTATGTTCCACTCGCAATCCGATATAATGATAATATAAACAAAAGTTAACATTTCTCACATTATTTACAGTAATATGTATAAATGTAGCGACACAACTTTGGGTTCAATTCTTTTTGAGATGGCGACATGCTACTGAATTCATATGCACATTTATAATAATGGAGTTTTTCGTTTGAAATTTGTTTTAAATGTATTCTGTTCCCGGAATTTTATGCTCAAATAATCAGCATAATTGCAAAATGCTAATCGAAAGGTAATTTTTATACCAAACAATTCTAGTAAGATGACTGAGAGTCATTATTAACATTAACCCGAAAACATGGTTTATTTATTCATAGTTATCTCAGTAAACAAGTTTATGGATAGTGATCACTGAATTCAAATTGAAGATAACAAAACAAGAAAATTCCTCACTCTAAAATGAATGAGATGACTCTTTGACTTGAGGGAGTTACAAGGTATGCTTTCGTGTGATACTCTTCTTTGCGTTAATTTAATATGTAACCTCACTGCATGTCATCATTAAATTTTACTAATTTTATTAATGTTATTCTCTAACCAATGTCAGCTCATGATGAAATCCTGTAACCAGTAAAATATAAGACTTTGGAGATAAATATCCACAGCACATTTTTCTATCATCACTTTCAACTGCCTCTGTGACTGCTCAAAAGCCTGCATTTTCTCTTCACCTGGTCCTCTTTCTGTCAACCTCAGATTCCCAAACCTACTTGTCCTCAGTCGAGTCGCACTCAGTAGTCTCGTATACTATGTCTCTTAACGATTTCCTCAACGAATATGCAATTCATCTATACTTCTTTGTGTATATCTGTTAGGTAAAAGATTTTTGGCTGGTTTGTCAGAGTTCTTTGTAACTTGGTTATCTTTTTTGGACAGCCACCTGATCTTCAGTATCCAGCGTATTTAAGAATGGATAAGATTCTGCAGTATGGTGTTGGAAAAGCTTCTGGTGAAGCGTGTCCAAAGTGGCTAAACCATATAAAAACAGTGACTGACTTAGCAGTATTGTTGAAAATTTCAATCTCCTTCCTTATTTTGAGAACTGTAGTTCTCCGCACGAAACTGATTTCATAATAATGAAGCCTATCTTGCTTTGACATCCTCAATTGTTATGTTGGTAGTTGAGATGATACTGCCCAGGTATGTAAAAGTGACGATTATCTTCAGATTTCCCCTGTTGAGGACATTTGGGTTTTGGTCCATTCAGGTATCTTCATCGTCTATATTTTCTCAATTTTTAATTGGAGTATTATATTTGTTGCCTTTTTTGTTAACTTGTTGGTTTCTGCTTGTAAATATTGGGGTTCGTGAGACATAAATATAAATTAACCGCTAAATCCATATCTAATATCTTTTTGTTGGTCTAATTAATGCTCGTCTTTTCACTTTCCGCATTCTTCTATGAGATCCAGTTCATCACAATGAGGGATCTCATGGATGATGATAAGAATCACTGTCTTACTCTTGTCTTCACTTGAAACTGAGAGATACATGATGATAATTTTAATATTGTTGAAATTGCTAAGCTCAGTGCTTGAATCACTTGAGTGTAGTCTATTCGAAAATTCCTGCTGTTTCTGGAATTCTCTATTTTTTATATTTGTACGGTCGTATTTTTTTAATATAATTATTTAAGCATAAACTGTGTTACGTTCATGGAAAGCAGTGCAGCCATCAGATTGGGATAGCTGGCCACCGATTCTTACCAAGGCATGAAGTTAACTCGCCCGGCTGGGTTACGCAACTCTGTGGTGCAGTGAGACTTTCGTTGGATTTTAAAGGTTACCTGACTGATGAAGGTTAGAATTTATGCAAACTTCAGGGTTATGATTAGCGGTAGTACTTCGATATATTTACAAATGTGGTTTACATGGCAATCATTTGCTCATTTTCGTCTATATGACGAACTCAAACTGTAATTTCTATCATAACTGACAAAGTCAGTCAATGGTTTTAAATGAATGAAATTTATTCATTTGTATAATGTTTAATATAAATATTTTAAAAGGAACGTCGTCAAATTAACTTGAGTAACATTTCAAACAGAAGCTAAGGGTCTTTTCAACTTCCGGTTAACAACCATGATATATGATAGGATCATTAGCGAAACAGTAAGTGACTGAGACATATTTTTGATCAGTATGAAACACTCATTTCTCGGGGAGAACTTATGCAGTGGTGTTCTAGATGAGCTGTAGCCTTAAAACTTCAAATGTAACAAACTTAATGCTTCGAATTCAACTGAAATATGTACCGAAATTTGAGATAGTTCTATTTAAATACAACTTATTTTTTTACTAATTTCTGGTAATAATTTTCCTGCTAAGTCAGGCTGAAGCATTATAAATTATTTATGCCTGTTATTTTGAGAATAAATATAACATCAATGCACGATGCAAAATGATGAGCTTTGTTACTGACATATGAAATTTTGAATGATTACTTAAATGTAAGGGCCAAAATGATGGATACAGAGAAGCCAGTTAATTAGTTCTGTATCTAGACAGCTGACAGTTCAACCTTGTCAGCATAGGAAATTGTGACAGTTTTCAGGTAACAAGTAACTAAATCAGTTATTTAAATGCTTTGTGATTTCAATAATACTCATTTATTTGAGACATGTGTTGGTACTGTGGTCTTCATTAAATTGTTTTCACAACGGTGATGTAACATTACTTAACAAAATATATAAATAATAAACTGTTAGTTATTATTAATTACTGTATTTTAGGGAAATTTATTTGTCGGTCTGTGAAAATAAAAAAAGACATCAAGTTAGTTATCACACAACACTCTGCGACTAATGACAAGTGCATTCATTTGGTTTGATAATGACAGCGTCGTATATGAAAACAAAAAATATCTTTAACATATAATTTATGAAATTTTAGATCAGAAGTTTGACAGTAGGATGAAAGAGAAAACGTTTACATTCTGTTGCTGAAATATCTCATTGTAAGGCAGTGTTCCGAGTCACTGGATTTTGGTTTTTTTGCTGGTCGTCTTTTGGATGGTAACTATGTAAAATAAAATCGGTCACCATTATTTCAGTAATTGGCTGAATATGGCAAAAGAACAACTATAAATGTTTGCCGAAAGTTTGTAAATATATGATTGTGTATACAGTTTAGTGTTGAACCGTTTGTTAGTAATTTTAATTAGCATTTATTGTGCATTCACTTAACTAATTCACTAAGTGAGCCTAGAAAATGATATTAAACAATTAAAATGCTAAAAATCACATTTCTTAGCTAAGTTGTTTCAATACTAGTTATTACAGTTAAATGAGAATACGCTCTACGGTCTCCTTACTTTGATATTCATTTTCAGATGAAAAAAATATAATACCATCAGAAATCTGATAAATAGTAAGAATGGAATAATTTCAAGCTAATTAAGTGTCAGTAAAAAGAAATGGACTTCAAAGAGAAACGCATTTTGAAATCGATTATTTTCCATTGACTTAGCCGTC